ACCTTTTCAAAATTTCTGTTCTAATTATTTGTATATGAGCAACTTGTCAAAGGTCCATCTCTACTGGAGGTCGTTCGTTAACAATTATTAATCATTTATAATTATTGCATTCTGGTTTACATCAATAGCGTTTTTTCCCTCTATTCGCGGTTTCATATGACTAGAACAACTAATTTGATCTTTGATCGGTTTTTAACAATGGACAATTTTTCTAGTTTCGTTTTACCAAATTACTATAATAAATCTTTAATATCAAGCCCATTTTGGAACCTCACACAGTCTTACATTTTTATTAGTCATGTTTTTTCCGTTTGTGGTGGTCAAAGAATCTGTCCAATGTCAGTTGCTTTTCTCTGTTCTTCAGGATTTTTCGGAAGTAATTAATAGTATTGTAATTGTAGAGATCCCCAACCCCATTAACCTTATTCTGGTTTGGATGCCACTCGGATGATCATTGTTCTGACATCCTCCCACTTAGTGCCAGCCCGAAGCAAGTTTTAGGATGGAGCGAGATCCTATTATGGCGCTCCCTTGGTTGCCCCTAATTTATACTCTTTAATTTTCTTTACCACTGAGGCGCCCCCTAGGACTTAGCGCCTGGAGCGGCTGCTCCATTCGCCCTATGGTAGGGCCGGCTCTGCTCCCACTTCTTCAAAAGATCTTTAGTAGTAAATGTCGACATTGGTCCTCTTTCGTCTTCCTCTTTTTCAAAAGAAAACACATCTCTCTGAGCTTCTTGGTATTCTTCATTTGAGAGTTCTTGGAGTTTTTCATTTGAGAGTTCTTGGAGTTCTTCATTTGAGAGTTCTTGGAGTTCTTCTGTCGTCAGATCAGTTTCAGGTTCCATTATGAGCTCTAAAATGCTCTTTATTTCTCAGATGTGATTTTCATTACTCCATTAGCAGCTTGAGACTTATTGATATATCTTTCATAGCTAAGATTGTGCCTACTGTAGACCTGTTCAAGCCATACTGCCTAGCAACATCAGACAGCTTGTGCCCAGTTTCTACCTTGGCTATTATCTCTTATTTGGCTTCTACGGTGAGCACAGTTCTTGACACTCCTCTTTTTAGGCTCCATAATATTATCAGTTTCTTTTTTAAATAAAAAGTTCAGAAAACCATTTACAAAAATTCTGATAACAGAAATCAACTAGCCCAAAAAAAATTATTTAAATGCAAGGCCCAGATGAAATTTGAAATTTGGTATTAAAACGTTAACGAATATCTGATGGAACAGTTAAACTTTTACCTTTCGTAAATAAAAGTTCATCTGTCTACTCTACACCAAAAGTACAGACCATACTAACCGAGATTACATTTGAAAAGATATTTTGAAACAAATTATTTTCAATATATCTTCTCAAATGTCATCTTGGTTAGTATGGTCTGTACTGATGTGGATTGGACAGAGGAACATGATTAAAAAAGCCATCTTTTGCCAGTCATCTTAGACTAATGATCATGAAATCAGCTAACTATTATAACTATTATAGAAGACGCAATGTTTTCCAACTTTTTGGTAATACAATAGCCCCTCGTTATATCGCGCCTTATTATATTGAGGATTCGGATATATTACGCTTTTATTTAGTCCCAAAATTTTAAATTAAGTCAATAAATTTTAAAGTACCAATTACCATTGAATTTCTTTTTGCAACGACATATGGTATGTTATTCCTACCATTGTCCTTGAAACTGCCACTGAAGGTGAAACAATAAATTCGTCAAGATCTAAATATGCAAAACAGGTCAACTGATCAGTTATCATTTGCGTTTTCTTTTCATATTAAAAGTTGTTTGTTTATTGGTTTTAAGTACTGTTTCCTCGTTTACAAGTTTCTGTGAATTCGAAATTTTACACCTTTATGTGAATCGATGGTATTGCATCAATCCATATAAAGGTGTGAAATTTCAAATTCACTGCATAATATGTAAGGAATAGATTTCTTTATTTCTTAGCAAAGTTCCAAAATTTTTATACAGTAGTAACTTTAATTTGCTTTTTAGAGAATACTCTGTGATTTTATAAGTTTTGATGTTCAATATTTGTTTTTTAAATTTTTAATTACTGTTTTTATAATTTTTATTGAAAATTATACAAATTACACGAATTTTTAATAAGCGATTTATTGTGAAATACAGTACTGTATAACAAAATCGCAACTGATGTTTTGTTTTTATATTGACAGTATTTGTCTTTAAATGTCATTGTTAAAAAAACAATAATGCTAAATGGGCATTCGTGGTATCGATGTTTACGTTATCGTTAATTAATACGATATAACCACGAATAAAAATACAATATTGCAAAACTAAGCTTATTTTATATCAGAAACACTTTGCTAATGAAAGAATAGAGGATAGAGATTCAATAGCATGTATAATCTGTTTAGTAAAAAGCCCAGAAGACACAAAAACGCGATATAACCAAGTACTAAAAAGTACTTGGTTATATCGCGTTTTTGTTTGTCTTCTGACAAGCGCGACAAGCCTACTGTATTGTTAAAACTGGTTGGGTTGATTTCTATTTTATATTTTGGAAAAATCTAAATAAATTTATGTCATTCATAATTACTATGAATTTGCAAATTTTATATATTTGGTGATTATCATTAAAATGTTTGTACTCAATGATCTCTAGAGAGATATTTGAGAGATATAGAGCAGTCCAAACGGTCTAATTTTTAAAGGTGTAAATTCATTGTGATAGTATCTTTCAAGGCTCCAAATTTGCAACATATCCTCAATAAATTAAACTTATTAAGCATCCCCATAATGAAAAATCACACAGATTAAGATCCATAGAATAGTTGCCAGGTAGTAGGAAATGAATGACTATCACTCTGTTATCAGTGAAATTTTGCAGAAACTGCTAAATGTTGTGTTCTATGTCTGGAGGATATCCATCTTGCATGAAAGCTGGTTGATCAAGGCATTGTTGCTGTTGCAGTTGGAATATGACAAAAGTGTTGAGCATCTCTCAGTATCTCTGAGCAGTCACAACATACACAGATGTGTTTGGACTAGCTTCTTCAAGAAGAATGGTCCAAAGAGAAATGTGGAATCTATATCAGACTAATTTTAGCCAAATATAGGAAGTCTGCTGGAAAACATTACGGTTTATCCAGACCCAAATGCAATAGGTATAGGTATTTACTGTTCAATTGAGATGAAAATCTCCCTTACTCCACAAGATCTTCCATTGCCTTTATATATCCACTCCATTCTGGGAAGGAAGATCAATGCAAAGGTAAATGGGTGTTCCTGTTAGCAGCAAGCAACTGCTGGTTGTGACTGATCTTAAACAGATAACAATGAACCATTTTCTTAGTATGTTACTTTCCATACTGTGCCATAGGACATTGCTACTCAAAGTATGGTCTATGAACAATTTCTTACTGGTATGCATCAAGATTTCACTTAAAATTGAATATATTACATTAATAAAACTATTTTTAAAAATTTTGAAAATATATTGTAGCCTATTATAACTTCCATTTTTCAAAGTAATTAGAAGCAGCATTAAGAAACACAACCTTTTCCAGCAACTATATTCAATGGAACAAACACTTTTGGCCTCTTTTACAGGCCTGCTTCAGGTTTTTAAACTGTTCCAAAATCACATGCTCTACCAAGTGTTCCTTTGAACAATTCATTCACAACAAAATTAGAACCAAATTTTATTATTGCATTTTTCTTTCTAATTCAGTATAAAAATTAAAGTAAATAAGAAAAAAAAATGTAATTGAAATCCATTCTCTCTGTTTTATAATTATTTTTAATTAATATCACAAAAATACTGGTCTGTAAAGGATTGGGATGGAAAAAAAACTGGTCTGTGACACAAAATTGGAGAAGCACTGCTATAGGATATACCCAATTGCCATGATACTGCATGTATGCTACTGGAGCCTGTAATATTTATTGCTGCTCAACAACTGTTGTGATAACATCTTCAATAAGCAATGTGATAGGTTTGTGTCCGTGACTGGGTTGAACTCGCAAATGTCCAGTTTCCTTGAATTGAATAATCATTTTTCTGAAAGCATCAGACAGCTTTATAATAAATGCACATTCTGGCAAGCTGACAATTGTAGCTAATAAGAATGACATTTAACAGTTGTATCCACTTTTATAACCAGAACTCGGATGCAACTTGCGTGTTTATTCAAAGGAAACTGCTTTTTTTGTTGTTTGCAGCACAGAATGTGCCATAATGGAGAATTTTGGTACTAATTTTTTTTATAGAAATGTCTTCCACACATCCTGAAATGTCACTATATCAAATTTGATTGAATTTAGACTGCTGAATATCTTTAAATAGTGTTAAATAGAGGTATTTTAATTATGATCGTCCGGTATTTCACTGTCAAACAACAATTGAAGAGTTCTATGGAATAAGGTAAATTTTAATGTTTTCAAGTTACTCAAGCTTATTTAGCATTTAAACTTTACTAAATTCATGTTCCAGTAAGGGGAATTGTCCATATCTGTAAAACCCTATTTGATATGCATAATAAAACTCCTAACCAAAAAGGTATCAGAGTGCACTTAGCTACCTTATTCCCTAGAACTCCTTAATTTTCTTAACATTTTAAGTCCACTTTCTTTACAGAAATCCACACTATTTATGGAGAATTCGATGGCTAGAAATAGTTCATTTTGGAGTAGCAGTAGTGCACATATTGAATGTCAAGACTTCCAGAATACAACTATATCTAATAAATTATCCTTATCTTACAAGTGGTCAGAGTTAAACTATCCTAAAAGTGGGACGATCAATTCATCTTTACATAGTGTTACCATAGAACATTTAAATACAGACTCATTATTTAGCAGCAGTGAGAATTGCAATTGCTTTAGAAGAAAGGAATTGAACCTTAAGATTTTACGAAAAAGAAGAATGAAAAATGCAAATATTTTTGCCATGAATGCAAATCCCTTCATAAAAAGGTAGAAACTTTTATATTCTGATATTAATAAAAAGAAATGTTTTAATTTTAACCCGACAATAATTTAAAACAGTACTGTAATCAAAAAGTATCGGGCATGGTTTGGTACGACTTTCATCGACATGTAGCAGCAATCCGTATATCATCTGTTTTCGTTTGCAAATAAACAACGTTTGTTTGTGTGTAAAGAATTTTTGTGCCACGATTTTTCAAAATGTCGAATGTAATTGAGCAAAGAATGTGCATTAAAATTTATTTTCACAACGTAATTACTGCTACAAAAACGTTGGAAATATTGCAAAAAGCCTTTGGTGACGTTAGTCAATCAAAAAGAAGAGTTTTCGAGTGGTGCAAGATATTGGAGGAAAACAGAGAACGCGTGGAAGATGAACCATGCTCTGGTAGACCATCCACTTCAACTGATTAACAAAATGTCGTCGAGTCAGCAATTTGGTTTCAGTAATCATCGTTTTAACAATTTATAGAACATGTGCCATTATCATTTGGATCCTATTATAAATTAAGCAATTTTAAAAGGTAATTTGAGCTTGCGGTGCGTCGCTTCTTGAGTTGCCTCTAAAATGTAGATTTTTTTTTTCCAAAAACGAGTGGCCAATGAAATGCTTTCTCTAGGTGAATCATTCTTAAAACGCATCATTACGGAGATGAAACGTGACTTTTGACACCGAAACGGCTCAACCAACAATCGAGTGAATGGCGCTCAAAATGTGAAGCGAGACTGAAAAGACCATGTCAAAGTCAGTCAAAAATCAAAGTTGCGTTGACTATTTTCTTCGATTATCGTGGTGTCATCACAAATTCCTTCTGACTGGCCAAACTGTCAACAAAGAATATTTGCATCGTTTGCGTGAAGCAAATTATAGAAAACGATCCGATTCATGGCGAAAATCTATAACGATACTGCATCTGCTCACAATGCTCTTGTTCGTGAATTTTTGCCAAAAACTCAACGAATATGGTTCCATGAGCTCTGTATTCACCCAATATGGCATCGTGTGACTATTTCCTGTTTCCTCGACTAAAATATCCTCATCATGACACCATTTTGAGTTGATTGATGCCATAAAACAAAATTTGCTGCGAGTTTCGAAGGGCTACTTCGAAACTCGTTACTTGCGAAGTTCACGAAGACTACTATAAAGCATGTTTCGAGGATTAGAAAAACGTTGACATAAGTGCATTGCAATGGGAGAGGATAACTTTGAAGGGGATGAAATATATTTTGATGAATAAATTCAAATCTTGCGTTTTATTGAACCATTCCCGATACTTTTTGATCACGGGTAAATTCGGAACAAGAAATTTCTGGACTTTCCGAATAGACTTTTCGGGATTATCGGTTAATATATTCTTGGATTGGGTGAACAGAAAAGAATACTTCTGTATAAACAGATCGTTTTTCAATATTTTATACTAATATATTTAATATCAAGAAATTATTTTATGAAAACTTTTTCACAGTAAATTTATGCAGTTAAAATTTATCCACATCGCCCAAATGAAATGAGAAAAATTTAAGATTCAAAAACATTTTATTTGAGGTGCATCGGAAATGTTATTTCCAAATTTAGTTTTATTTTTCGATGTTCAATAATTTCTAAACGTATTCATCACTTTTTACTACATTTTTAAAAATCAAATTCAGTATTTTTGTACAGTTGGATAAATTTGTCTACTATAAACACTATCGGCCTCTATCCCAAATAACTAATCCGTTCTTACTATTTGTTTCGCAAAGAAAGCAGTAATAACTAAAATTTTTTACACTTAAATTTTAATGCAAAAATAGTAAAATAAAAATATTTTTAATTTTATAGTTATCTCTAAAATCGGGAAAACTATGTTTAGGAAAGAAATGGATTGTAAGTAATGGCTTCGGGCTTTAAAGTAATGCTAGCAAAAATTGGAAATTTCGAATTTAGTTAACTAGTTTCGGTAAAAACCGGTTTTTCTAAATCAGATGTCAAACCAAATCTATTTTAAAATTGCTTTAATTCTACTGAATTCAATGTTTTATTATTTTATTCATTAATTATTATTACTAATAAAAATATTAAATACAAAATTTTAAATAAGCTACCGTAATTAATAATTTTTGAAAAATTATTATATCATTAATATTTCTTTGAATAAAATATTTTTGTAGTCTACTGTTTTTAAGAATTTGTTTTTAATTGTAAAATATTTTTTATTTGATGAAAAATAAAATAAAACACTTCTGTTTAATTTATAATTTAAGATCTAAGTATAAAGCATTATTCTAATAGTTAGAATAGATTTATCAATATTAATACATTATAAAGAATTAACCACTTCAACATACATAGTGTCTATGCTCTACAGCAGTGGTTCTCAAAGCGGGTGCCGCAAGAACGCCACAAGGGTGCCGCGAAATTTTTAAATAATTAAATTAAAATTACTTAAAATAATTGAATTAAAGTATTAAATTAAATAAATAATTAAAAGATACCTTTATAATAATAACTTTTGTTTTGAATGCTTTTGTGTTGTTTGGAAATAAACTTACTTNATAAAAAACTTTTATTTTTTTCAAAGTCTTCTCATCCTTCATATCTTTACTAACCGTAAAAAGCAAAATAATAAATAATAATAATAGGGGTGCCGTGAATTTTGTTTAATAATTTCAAGTGTGCCACCTGACAAAAAAGTTTGAGATACACTGCTCTACAGTCTGAAATGTTTGTATTGTTTGAGTCTGAAATGTTTGAAATATCTAAATAAGAACTTAAAAACTAACAACAATACTGCTTTTATGCCTAGTCTAACCCGGTTTCGTTGCCAGCATTACTTTAAATTATTAAAGGAATGATTGAAACATTTTGGTTACTCAACATTATCTTTTTAATAAAAAAAAAACTTTGGAAATAACTTTATTTTTATAGAAATTACATTTATTTTTTTACTTTGGATATCGTGTATTTATAATTATGATTTGTGTATTTTTATAAAAGCAAAATATTAAAACAAATTGATTTTTAGCGGTGCAAACGAAACAATCAAAAATATAAATAATAGAAAAATTAAAGAAATTTCCGAGAGACGGAACGGCCTGGAAGAAGCCACAAACGACAGGTAAGACTTTTCTCAAAATCTTTTTTCTATAACAGCTAAGTAGAGGTAAGAATTATTTGTGCAGTAATGGAGATGTGTTTTCAGCATATCTTCCATCTTCGGAGGGAGACGGCGTCGTTTGGCCAAACGACTCTTTTGTACCGGTGCCTGGGCCGCTTCGACGATCGTCGCTCTGTGGGTGTTGGCCATTAAGTTTCTGGACGAGAATTATCCGTGGGATCTGTCGATGGACCTCTGGTTGCCGGAATTATGGGAAAAGGCTTGGTCGAAAGTGGTCTGGAGACGTCCGGGAAAACCACCAATCTGAGACTGCACAATAAATATATGTATCGATATATATATTTATGGGACGATTAAATTCGATCAATAAATATTTATTCTCACTGCTTCTAATGAAATAATTAATAAGAGAAACTGTGACGTAGAATCTATGTCCAAGATAAAAGTATTTTCCGTGTGATCGATCTGTGATATATTATTCCATCACCCGTTAATTATATATTACCTGAAGATCAAAAGATTAGATTTTAACATATATATATTTCATGTTTTGAGAAAAATTAAAATTGTTTTTACCTTTATGCCAAAATATTCGATATATAATTATATATTGTTAAATGTGAAAGAAAAACTAGATTTTTCTATTAAAGAAAATAATAAAAATCGGAATGATATTTCTTTCACAACAAAATATCAATGCATTAAACATGTTCATCCGCACATCGAATGTTCTCTGCCCAAATTAGCCATAAAATTATACAAAATGAAACGTTAGCAGTGAGTTTCAGTTTATACTGAGACGGGCCCGACTCAGTTTATTTTCGATGCAAAAGTGCAGAAAATATGTAATTCATAAATGGGTGCGCCTAGAACCTCCTAAGAAAAACAATTCGAAAGTCTTTAGTCATCGAGTCTTGGACTGATAAGGGTTACTTTCCTCTTCCACCACTCCAAGAACCCGCCACGGATGGGCATAAAAAAGCTCTCTAGTGATCCAGTCGAAAAAACAGAAATTAAAGTGTAATTACTGGATAACGCTACACCGCGATAATTTGTTTAATAAAATGCCTAAGTGTCATCAGGTTAAATGATTACTCTTTTACCAATAGAATTATTTTTAATTAGTAACTTTTTATGTTAAATAAATCGGAAAAGGAGAAA